TGCAATTAAATTCCTGTATCATCAACTAATTCTAATCCACACGATGATGGGAAAGAATGGGCATTTGCGTATGTAGGACATGCAACTATATACTTATTAGATTCACTTGCTCAAAGTTAATTCAAATGCATTGTTTGGATATATATACTGTATTTTAAAGCGTGTCAGTTAACACTTAATTGGTTCATTAATGCAAAGTAGACTTATCTATTTAATCTTTATTTTCCTTGATACTTTTCATTCTTTAAGCATCTAAGTATGCTGTACTATTGCCATCTGTTCCATATTCATCACACATTATGCAACGATGTTTATGAAAAAAGATTTTCTAATGCATATAAAATATGTCCTCACATACAACGTCATAATAAATACATAATTTAATGCTTAATCCTATAAATAAATGACCTGCATATAAACAATCTTTTTTCCTGAATTTAAATAAAACGCTTGCTATGACGTTTTAAGATATTTATTAAAGCAGAATACTAAATATATTAGCCTTAAGAAATTGTATATAGTTTATAAATACATGCACGCTGATAATATTTACCATCAGCAACACAAAGACAATAAATATGCATTTTTGCACAATTTAACAAATTCAAATTTAAAAACATACAATTGAATTAAATCTTGCTGACAAGTGCTTTTTTATTTTTCATATATTAATTCTATTTTAAAATTAATTATACATAAAAAATCAAAACAATATCCCTATATATGGAGTGGGGGCGATATAGCGAAAAGTGGACTTCTAAGTGTAGAGATGTCACCAGTACTTTGACAAGGACAATTTAACATGAGAAATTTTAACATGAGTGGACCTATAGAGCGAAAAGGAAAATTGAAACTTTTGGATATATAGCGACATGAAGTTGGGCCAGTCTAGCGGAAATGGAATTGAAAAGGGGTAATGTCACGGTACTGGACAATAAAACAATGTTGCAAGCGGTTGAACTCTGTCGGGCGGAACAGTGTGGCAAGGGGCTGACCTACACTACTCAGTGGACAAATAGAGACACAGAAATAGAGATTTAGACATGTGACACCTTCATTTATAAACAAAAATCTATCACACAAAAAAATCGATTTTTTTTTCAGGCAAGAGGGAATAAATGTATTTTAAGGGCAATGGAATGACCCCTGAAAAATGCCATTTAACTTTCTTCTTTTTTGTCTCCTCTCTTTTCCTCCACCAACATTTTATTTTCTAAACTACATTTATCTTTTTCTTTTTGTATTCCTTTAACCCTCACCTTCTTCTCCTCCTCTACCTCCTCTTTTTTATTTCATTCTCCTCCTATTTTATCCCTTTAGAATTGTATCTACTTAACTCTTCTATTACCTGCAGATCTTCCTTTTCTTCTCTCCTTGTTTTATCAGCTCTCTCAGTCTGTCCGTTGCCATCTTTAAATTATGAATTTCCATTTTGAATCTATGGGGACTATAAAATTCATTCTCCATATTCACTAACTATTCTTCTAGTATACCCAGGTCATCTACTACCTGTTGAAACAATGTTTTTTATTATTATTGGATGCGAGAATGACAAAGACAACACATTATATGCATCTAGCAAGGACATGAAGCAAACCATCCCCTCTCACCAGATATCTATATCACCTAGCACACAATTAACAATGATATGAGTGCTAACGTAAAATAAATGTTTATACTTTGCGCTGTGGATGTGTCATCACCTCACGAATGACCTCACACTGAGGTCTATTCATGAAGTGGGCAGAATCAATATTTTAGTTTCCTTCTCCTCTTCTTTATTCCTTTCGTCCTACTCTTCAAAGAGTCTGGCACTTTCTCCTCCATGGCCACCTCATTTGGGTGTTGCTTGGCATACCCCAGGTGCATCTGGAGGTATAAGTTTTGAAATCTTGCACATCTTTTTTCAGTTGACGACTCAACGATGAGTAGCCAGACTGACTGCGCTTTGGATTATGACTAAAGACAGGACCTTGGATGCACTTCTCGCACGCTCGATGAGTTACGAAGAAAATAATATATTGAATCCCATTCTCTTGCATGCATTCAGAATGGAAGGAGATGAAATTCCCTTTTTTTCTTCTGGTCATTTTCTTCATCTTCCTCTTGTTGTGGTTGTTTTTGTTTGTTTTTATTTTTCTTTTTATTTTCTTATTTTTTTTGTTTCTTCTTCCAAGTCCACGTTTTGGTAATAAACGTAACATGCTTTTTTCCTGGACAAATGTTTGCCTTGGTATTTTAGTGCGTATGACTTGTCCGTAAGCAAAACAACATTTCAGGAGTTTCTGTTGTAAACCTTACGTCTTCAAATGTTGTTGGTAACAGGTAGAGCTGACAAAAGTGCAGACAAGCTGAGCAATGCACTCGTTTTTATCCGTCGTCAAGGCAGAGTTTAGTGGCCAAATATCCTAAACATTCCAGTCCTCAATGTTTGTGTTGCTCTCGAATGTTTCACCATCCATAGTCATATTTCTCACAATAATAACTATATGCCAGGAATCCGGTGATACTGGTAATGGTATAGAAATGTTCATCCTGATGATAGACATAAACGTATTTTCCGTCTTTAAAATGTTTTCCTCGAAACAGCAGAGGTCCACGAACTTCTTGAGGTTTACTTTCAAAATGTAGTTTGGAGCTAAAAAGTCTCGAACATTTTGCATTAATGAATGCCACGGAGTGCTTCGTTGGATATCCCCGCTTGCAGTAAAAGTAGTTCTGCTTCTTTTTTGTTGTTTGGTTTGGTCCGATCGTTGAATAGTTTTCCAGGTTATTTTCCATTCTGACATGTCATTCGTATCAGCATCACGATTTTCTCGGGCTAAACACATCAGGTCGTGAGGGTTGTTAATTTGGAGGAGCCTACGCTTCATACCACAATGTTTGTCCATCAATGCATCTTTTTTGCTTTGCCCGATCCCGTTCGGAAGATAAATATGGGACATGTACAGTTTCACTTTTCCAGCAGTGATGTGAACCTGTAAAAATAGTTCTGCTTCTTTTTTGTTGCTTGGCTCGGTACGATTGTTGAATAGTTTTCCAGTTTAATTTCCATTCTGACGTGTGTTCTTATCGGCACCGCGATTTTCATGCTAAACACACCAGGTTGTGATGGTTGTTAATAGCTACGAGGCTACGCTTGATACCATAAAGTTTGTCCATCAATGCAAACTTTTTGCTTTGCCCGGTCCCGTTTGGAAGACAAATTGGGACATGTACAGTTTCGCTTTTCCAGCGGTGATGTGAACCTTTCGTAGTGGGACTGCTGCATATTGTGTTGAATCTTGTTGATGACTTTGGAAGGTGTCAGTTCCCAGGTCCTGATAAACTCAGACTGTCGTGATAAATGGAATATGTCAAGCGATCGTCTTCTCTGGCTCGACATTGCCGTTTCAGAATGATTAAGAAAGAATCCCACAAATCGCAAATCTTTGATGAAACCCTCTGCTTTCTCCAGCAGTACGTCTGACCTGAAATCTGTACACTTCACCCTGTATGCCGTGGTTCTAAATTTTATGAGGAGTGTTTATCCCTTTTTCGAATGAGATAGTAGTTTTCAGGTTGTCATGGCAATGGACTTTGGCTTGATGTAGACTCTGCTTGTCTGTATTCTGGCTCGCTCATGTCATCTTTACACTCACTCGCATAGATTTGAGCCAATATTTCAGCTACTGTGAGAGGCGATAGGTCACGTTTCTGACTTACTTTTTCTCCTTTCTAGACGAAATTATGCGACAGTTTCATCTTGATTGAAAAATTTCAAATGACTACAATTTAAACACCTCGGTTCGCTATATATCAAATATAAGGTCCGTGTCTGCACTCCAAGTATTTATTTCACTCTTAATTCCACCATAAATATGGACGAGTCAACTCAAATCGAACTTCAGAGCTTTGCAAGTTGTCGTACGAAGGTTTTCTTCGCAGAAGCCGATGGACTGCTCCAAACAGGACGAATAGGTACCCTCCGAAAAGGAACAACCCAGACACGTACAGAAGAGAAAAAAAAGAAGAAAAGAAGAAGAGAAGAAAGTGACAAAGAGAAAAAAAATCTGTGACAGTGAAAAATTTCAAGAAACGGAGAATGAGAGGACAGAGACGTTTATGAACTTATTAAAGTGATGTGTTGTGAAATTGGATTGTAAGGTTGAGAATATACCAGAAATGAAAACACAAGTATCTCTTGGATTTGATTTTTATAATAAGGAACTACACTTTATTTTTCTTTTAAATATTCTCAGGAACGGGAAGTAATAAAATTTAACAGCCTTATACATTTGCCACGGCCAAGGCATACTTCTGGACCTGCTCATGTCGATGACTTGGTATAAAGCACTAGTATCAGTATCACAAGGCATAGTAGGTGTGTTGACGGAGTTTGATTATTTGGCTCGGGAAGATCTTTTTCTATTGGGTCTTATTAAAGAAGTTAGATACATTTTCTTGAGACTACTTAACTATGCCAAAATGTCAAAGAGTACCATCATCGTTTGACTTTCACTATCCGTCTTCTCTCCTTGACCTTTTTGCTTCTCTGCCTCTTCGCCCACCATCCTACCGTTGATGCTGTTCAACCAGGGCAATCCCATATATGTCCAATCATCGTGGGCAATTATCAATTATACAGCCCTTTGGAAACGAAGGATCTATGTGGAGAGACGAGGCTGTCTGAAGGGAGTCTTGATCTACGGTCCAGATATCAGACGAAGGTTGAGGAAAAGAAGAAGATCAATGCGATGCCCTCTGTATTAACTGAATGGTGTTAGGAAAAAATCGAGGCCCTTTTCATAGCTACTCATTGCCTCGAAAAGATATATATTTTGCCAATATTTTGTGTGATAGATTTATGTTCGTAAATCTATGTTTGTGTCATAAATTTATGTCTCTATGTATGGAACTCTGTCTGTAACCACGTCTCTATGTGTATCTCGCTATTTGTTCCTAGAGTAGTTCGTATTCAGGGTAGCCCATTTCCACACTGTTCCGCCCAATTGAAAACCGATCCGGTGGCTTAGTGGTTAGAGCGTCCGCCTCTGATTGGTAAAGTCCTGGGTTCGAACCCCGGCCGAGTCATACTAAAGACTTCTGAAAATAGTACTAACAGGTGCTACGCTAGGCACTCAGCATTAAGAGGTTAGTGTTAGGACTTGTCGATCTGATGTCAAGATAATGTGACTGGCCGGGACAATATGCTACATGTCTGCAACATGATTTCCCTGTGCTAGACATTGCTATAAAACTGCCACACTGCAGATATCGTGGCGATATGACTGAAAAAATTGTTAAAGCTACGTTAAAAAATCCAAATCACTCCGCCCAATTAAAATCAGTCGTTTGCAACATTGTAACCAGTGTCATTACCGTCACGTCACCCATATTTAATTCCACTTTTCGATCGACAGGCCCAATCCCTTGTCGCTATGTTTAATTCCCTTGTCGCTCAATAGGTCCACCCATGTTACAGTACCCCATGTTCAATTTCCCTTTTTGCCAAAGTGACGAGGACCTTTTCAAACAGGGAAGTTCTTATGCCACTATATTGCCCCCAATCACCACATCCTTGTCAGTAATAAAAAATGTGTTTCGAATTAAAGTTGCATCAATAACACGCTGAAGGGATTCAGGTCGTAATAATTTTCATTATAATTTCTAGATTGTTATTGCTGAATACGGAACTTTCCATTGTTTCCAATTACTAAAAATCATATGTCAATCTAAGGAAACTTTAAAGACGAACTAAATGGAAAGCTATTGTTATCGGTTAACAGCCATTTTCAGAAGCTTAAAGGTAAAAGCATGGGGTTATTCTTGCTGCATATTCGTTTCTAAATGTGTTCTGCATAATGGAGAACAGAAGATGATACCCACTATAATCAGCAACCGAAGACACAGTTGTATATCTGTCTGATAAGAACTACTTCAATTTGTCTAAAAACTATGAGAACAAAGTAAGAAAACATACGCATTTAAGGATTAGAAAGGTATTTAAAAACCCCATGGTAAAAAACAAATTGTTTCTAAACATTCCAGTTGTAATGATGACAACGTGGCTATCTATATGCAAAGCTATCTATGCAAGGCCTTTCTATGCAAGGATTATCTATGCAAAGGTTATCTATGCAAGGGCTGTATATGCAAGTGCTGTATATGCAAGCTCTCATAAACAAGTATTTGGATTATTGATATCAAACTCAGACTCAGATGATATTGTCATAATGAACACATGAAATTAATAAAGTACCCTTGTCATTATGGCAAACAAACACACACACATACACACACCATATATATATATATATATATATATATATATATATATATATATATATATATATATATATATATTCAATGATATATATATATATATATAATTATATATATATATATATATATATATATATATATATATATATATATATATATATATATATATATATATATATATATATATATATATATGATAGAATTCTCATGATATGATAGAATTTTCACGATAGAATTTTCATGACAGAATTCTCAACATCCTTTTGCCAAGCAGTAAATCAGGTGAAATTTTTATCATTTTTTTTACTGCTTATCTTCATCACGGATGAATGAATACATAACCAACGATTAGTCCGATTCCACAGACTCAATGATAGAGACCTGCTTTCAGGAAGGCGGTCAAGGTGCCCAAAGGCTTTTGATTCAGTACAGTGCAAGGGGACATCTGTTGGTGTCGTCGTGAACTAAAATCAACAAGCATTATCGGTCTATTCCAAAAACGATGTCAATGAAACATTCACACAATTATTTAGTAATATTTTGTACACTTAGAACTAAAACTAAATCTAAATTTGATTTTGCTGATCAATATATATATATATATATATATATATATATATATATATATATATATATATATATATATATATATATATATATATATATATATATATATATATATATATATATAGTTTAATACAGACAATACTATCAGACAGGTTAGAGAAATTAAACTCGTACTCTACGGAGTGTGGAACCCATCTCCGCGAGTAAATCGCACCCTTCGCCTTGCCTGTACGCACGCACCAGCCGACTTAGGGTCACGACTAAGCACGCATCGCTAAAATATTGATGGCACTGAATCGGTGTTATATAAGCTCGTGTGTAGCAGACGCACTCGACACGGAATAGGCGTTATATAAGCTCGTGCGTAGCAGACACACTCGATTGACGACCTAGTAAATTCTCTCTCTCTCTCTCTCTCTATATATATATATATATATATATATATATATATATATATATATATATATATATATATATATATATATATATATATATATATATATATTACATTTATGTGAATAATATTTACTAATCTTTACCATGTAATATACATATTCTAATTTCATTCTATATCATGACTCTAATTTCAAATAGGGATCTTCAGAGTAATACAATAGACGGCCTAAGTTTAATAACACAACATTGCATATTAACTATTATATTATTTGCACCTTTTCCTTTCTCGTGTTCGTTTTTCATATTTACCAAATAGTTTATATCTTGTAATATAAGCTTTTTCAAGATTAAAATTATGTCTCTTTACATATGGAACTATTTCCAGTTGGTTTGCATGGAGATATAATGTTAAAGAAAAAAATTTCCATGATTTTCTGAATGCTTACTTTTCTTACTATACTCAATCAAATTTTATAATCGACGTTACGGAGACGTTTAAATGCTCTTATGTTACGAGTCCAATGATCATAAAATAAGCAATAGGAAAGAGTGAAGGCAACAAAGAGATTGAAAATTAAAGGCAATGATCTGTCTGTTATGGCCTGCTTTGTTCTGATGTGTCAACAGCATCTTCTTGAGTCACAGACATCTTACTCCCGGTTTAAATTCAATGTAAAGTGCAATGAATTAATTGTCTTTATTCGAAAATTTTGTCAGACCACTTTTGTACTTCTAGAAAAAATAATCACTTGAATTCAATAATTTGAAAAATATAAAATTCACCCCAAGTTGGTCACAACATAACACAACTTAAATTGCTAGATGTTAAAACACAAATAGAAAAATTCTTCACAATCTCAAGTTAATGTAGTTCTCTAACATCAGATCAAAAATTGGCATTTTCTATAAATAACATTTTTTCTAATGGAAAATAACTTTCTTGAATGATTTAATGAGCCTTATTTATTTAAAACAGAATACCCTATAAAAATTCACTTTGGAATCACAAAACCCTGAACAAAATCAACTTGTTTACCTGAATAATAATTCGGTTAATGACCTCATATCCATATAGAATAATGAAACTATTATTGCTTACATCAATGAAATATAAACGTCGATCAGATCAAAAAGAACTGATCTCAGTTTTGGACAAGGTCAAGTCCAGTAAACAATGGTAAATTACAATGGCACGTAATGGAATAAACAATTAAAACTAACAAACAAACAAGTCAGTTAAATATGCATAACGATAGAAAAAGATTTTAAGCATCCTATCATAGCTATTATTACTGTTGTATCAGATTTAAACAACTTTTGCTGTGTTTAGAAGGAATGTGTTTTGTACGCGTTTATTTATCCTGCAACTTCAAATTATGTATTAATAATTCAGTGTCACACTTTATTTTGTAATATGTAATCTGGGGCATTTGCTACTATACGTTTCGCGTAATTATTATGATATTTACTTCTTCATTAGTTTGACTCAAAGTTATGTTTCTTTATTCGGATTTTTTTTCTAAATACGGTATTGATACTTTACTTTGTAGATACTTAAAAGCCTGTGCATCGATTCCATTTTTACACACCACATACCTCATATGTGAGGGTCAATCTAATAAGTGCCACAATCACACAATCACAGATTGTAGCAAAAGTAAGTGTTACTTAAGTTTGTAAACAAATGCATGAAATTAGAATAATTCAGAAATTTAACAATGCCAATTAGCTGTACAGTTAATCAGAAGCTAGGATATCAAACAAAAATATAACATATAATCTATCTTCTAACATATGTTTGTCGCTGAACATGTTTGTAAAACAACTAACTTCAGAAAACGAATGAATATCCAATGGTGGTGCCAGGATTCTAGGCATCTGGCGGCAATGTTCTTTTTGAGACCAGTACCAAGGCATCCGAAGGTAATATTCTTGGGTGGAGACGTATTGTGCTACAGAACACGTTTTATCAATGACCCGTTACACTTAAAAGATAGCAACATGCTATGAATCTGTAGGTTAAGGAAAGCTCCATACCTCGCCCCTTCGCAATAGGCCCTCCAAATCACAACCACATCACGCCGCCACTATTACCAACCGCAAGTCACTATTGCAACCAAAGCAACATGAAAGTCGAACACAACTACAACTCGACTTTACATTAATTCGAATCCCTCGAAATGCCACTCATTCAATAGAACCGATAGAGAATGCACACGTAAGGAAATGTACTGGATGCTATCAATGAAAATCCATGGCGAATTTTCGGCCTGAATTAAAACGCGTAAACTTCATTTTGGAATCTTGATCTTTAGAAAAGGAATTATTTAGTTAAGTAATATATTTATATAAATAGAAGGATATTGTTATAATTTTCACTATATAGAATGCATACATATGTAAACAGATATGCACATTGCACATGAATACCTGCAGCCACATTCATTTGTTTTGTTTTGTAACTAATTCCTTTATGGCAGACTATACTGTTTTCATGTTTTAATTCCTTCCATTAATTGTTATTGCCCATACCTTTGATGACAAATGTATAGAATATAATCTTAGACTTTTTAAATGCATTTGATTAGTTATTTACAAGACACAAGACATGGGATAATATATTGATTTTAATGTATACTCAGTTTTTATCTCCATTTGATCTAATAGTCATTTTAAAGAGAGATAATATTCCATTGCATGATTAGTCTCAAAGTTGATAAAGGATTTGATCGTTTATATCAAAATTAGTTGCGTACTGATTTTTACTAACATAATTAATTTCTTATTGACCAGTAGAAGAAGATAAATAAATGTTAAGTCTATCAACAAATTTAGATTTATTTAAA